TACCACATGATCATGTCAGAAATATATAAGGTTTAAAACATTTCAGTGTAATGTAATTTCTCGGTACATTTGACGGTCTTGCCTCACCCCCCCGCCCCATACCGAAAGGCTGGTCACGCCACTGATCAAATTTAACACATAAATGCTTGCTGCAATATGAGTTAAAATACCCTCTACAGTATGCACCAGATTGCACCATTTTAAGCTAAAAAGTGCAAAAACTCCCTATTGTCGGAGGGGGTAAACCCCCTCCCACACCCTTCCCCCCAGGGCCATGTCCAGGGGGGGGTTCAGGGGGTCTGGACACCCCCCCTGCTCGCGCAGAAAACGCATCTGAGGGGGGTCTAATTTTAAAATTTAAACCCAGACCCCCCCTTCGTGTGCTCGCAAGTATGGGTTACGGTTAGACCCCCCCCTGGTCCAAATCCTGTACACGCCCCTGCCCCCTTTTTGAAATTCTTGGATCCGCCGCTGCGGTAATCATTAACGTTATGCTTGACATGGCCTTAGGCGCGTTCACACGGACGCTTTTGGCCCGAGCCTAATTAGGCCCGCACCAGATTTGGCTCGAGCCGAGCGTTCACACGGACGTTTTTGGCCCGTGCCAGATTTGGTCCCATCGAAAACGTCGGACCAGGCCCGAGCCAAGTTTTAGCACCAGCTTTCGGCGAGCGGTAGAGCGGTAGAATCGGTTGAGCAGTAGATGCCGCGAGTGTCGAACGTGTACTTCGACGAAATAAAGTCCAAAACAGTATAAAAATTCGAAAAATTTGATCAGGATGCACGTTTTCAAGATTGATAATTGAACTCGGAACGTAAGTATAAACACTCCGAATCGTACACAACGCCATCTCGCAACATATACTGCCAAAGTATCTGTGAGATATGTGTGCAATAAAATTTATTTGAATTTGAATTTGAATTTGACAGACAGTATTCACTTGAGTACGTATGAACACTCCGACTCAAACCGGCCCGAGCCAAATTTGGCCCGAGCCAAATCTATAGCACATTTGGCTCGAGCCAAACCATGACCGTGTGAACGCGACTCTTATTTCCCTAACCCTAATCCTAACACTAGTGCTGCCACGTAGCGGCACCCTCCCTCTACGCCCGGGGGAAATTTATTCCACAAGTTTTTTTCTAAGTGGGAAATTTTTACCACAAGTTTTACAGCGACCAGGTTACTCGTACCCCATGTAATAAGATTTGTACAATAAAAGTTGCAAAGATATTAAAAATCTGACAATTATTTTATGAGAAGTTTGATAAAATAGTGATACGAAATAGTGCGCGTATTGTGCGCCCATTTACTACTTTCAAATCATTACGCTGTTTACTAAACTAAGTTTAATTACGTGTTTAACTTTATTTAATATTTATCATGAATTGTTCGGATGCTTGCCAATAATGCCAATATACCTAATTCTCGAACATTATCTTTGATACATTTTTGCGTATTCAGCTTAAAACATCTAAATCTGTCCACCAACAAACATGCAAATCATAGAAATTTCTAATGTTTTGTTCGGCGGCAACTTCGCGACAGTTGGAGCCCCCCCACCCCCACTTGAAAAATAGTACCAGCCTTGTAGCAGTGGTATCCTGAGTTGTACCATGTACCATTGTACGAAGGGGCCATTGATCTCTATTATACCAGGAGTAGATAATGATAGGGTTCCTTATTATCTACTTCTGATTATACTAATCTCTGGATCAGTGGAAGGGGCGCTGCCACTGATCTCTATATTATACTGATAATATTATATCAGGAGTAAGATAATATAGACTATATTAATCTATATTATCTTACTCCTGATTATATTATAGAGATCAGTGGGCGCTGCATGGAGTGCCAGTGGTTTGCCTCGCGAGACAACTACGATTAACTTAGACGGGCACACTGTGTCCACACTTTGTCAATAGATGTATTATGTAGAAACAGGGTACCCATCTACGCAACACACACCATCGTTCTGTGATACCGTTATTATTTTTGTATGTTAAAGTAAATTGAATACTATTTCGTCAGCTAATAATTTTGATTTATTAAGAAATATTAGTCTGATTATTTTATACACGTTTATATCATATTTTATTTTACTAAGCCATTAATAGCTATTTTGTGGTATTCTCTTAAACGAGTATGTAAGACTGAGGTGTGTTCGGTAGTGGTGCCTGAGCAGACTAGTTGATTTATTTACGGTTAATACCGTGTCAAATTCGTACAAAAAGTTACATGTGTAAGGTTATTGTACTTGTAGTATCATTTATAATGTTATAATGACGACATAATTCTAATTCGTGGTCAGGTAACGTTTTATAAGCGTGAAAAAAGCGAACAGTAAGTCTAGAGAGTTTACCACTGCGTCATGGACACGAACAATATGGCAGCTATCGTTGTAAATCGGCTGCTTAGCTCAGCCTCCTTTCTACTGCCTCGCGGTCGCTATCATTTCTACATGCAGTCGTTTTCATTGATTTGTCGTTTATTGTAGGTCACGAGCTGTAGTACTAGCAGAGTACTGACGCATTGTTTCGCTGCAGGTAAGAGTCGAGACTAGTTGTTTAATCAAATTACTGCACAGCCACAGGCACTTGGAACGTTTCAATAATAAAATGTTGATGAATAAACACGAAGTATATTTACTACCAATTTCATAAATATTTACCTATTCTTTTTTGCCTATTATGGGCAACAGTGTACCGTAAATGCAATTCAGATGCTTTAATTTTCTGCGACACATAATTTCAACGCACGAATTTCTCCGTCTCCGATATATCATATCAGGGTGCGAAATTAACAGGAGTCAAATACTTCCTGATTTACTGTCGGACTCTCTGATTTGACATATGCAGGAGTCTGTGTGACTCGATCCCTGAAAATTCCGCCATACTAACTATATAGTTCGTTCCAGAGCACGGCCTTGCGGAATTACCGTATTTTTCAGCTAATGTCCAAAGAAAATTTGGCAGACGTGCAACCGCATAAATCTTCAAAATAAGCACATGCGTTATTGTTAATATCTTTAATTTTGAACCTCAGACTGCGGACTCCCTCATTTTGCTGCGTACTTCCTCTTTTTGAGGGTAGGGAGTCCGTTGGACTCCCGTGTTCAAAAGTTAATTTTTACCCATGTCATATAGTATACTATAGACTATAGTACCTTGTACTTTGAAGACTATTACGTGGTTAAGCATGCATATTGACCCAGATTTCTACGACAGCCGAGGATATTAATGCGATACTGAGAGGTGTTCATGAAATTAATATAAAAAAATCAATCTAAAAGGAATTACATGTGTGTGTTTAAATAGTTTAGCTTGAATTATTCGCTGTTTCACATCCATATCGTTTGTATTGCGATATGGTCACGCTGCACATTAATTATCGTATTGTGGGCCACTGTATCGCGATTCACCGATGTATCGTTACAACTCTAGTAGGGGTGAGTATTGCGACCAAAAACCGTATTGCAATATATTGCAATACGACAAAACCGTATTGCAATATTTTCCAATACGTATTGGGAAAGTGTATACCATGCATTATATAGTAACAATTTGATGGTTTTAATATCATCATATATTGTATTATATGACATGATTTAATTTCTCATGTTTTTCTTGAGAAG